ATACCCTGAGACACTCAGATATCTTGCATGAATTAACAAGGAACAGGAGGATTGGTCCTGTCAACATGTTTTTAGATTTCAATCACGAAATTAGCAATGGGCAAGAATTATGAGAGCTGAAGTTGAAAACATATGTGGGACCAAAGGTTCCCCCACCAAGCATTAAACTTTTTTAAATGACAATGATAAGAACAGACATCATTACCATCATTTTCTATTTCTTATAGGATGCTTTTATGCACAAGACTATGTGCCTTACAACTAAAATATGCAAAAATTAAGAACCCGTAAACCAATGTACAATATATAGGAACACCTCCCTGCAATAAAAATTCATAATTGGCCTCAGGTCAGTACAGCCTTGTTAATCATTAACTGCCATAGAGTAGAGAGATATCATCATCAGGGGCTTGAAAGATGATAATGTTTGAGGCAGTTGCGTTTGCTTGGAGAGAGCTCTTGACAGGTGAAAGGCCACAACTGAAAAAGCCCTTTCCATTGTTGCTATCCTTTGAGTCTATGCTGAAGGAGGTGCTCACAGGTAGGCTTCAAATGATGTTCTCAGGATATGGGAAGGTCATGATGGGAAAAGTCTTCCATGAAATACTGGAGTCCTTAGCCATATAAGGTTTGATATACTAAAATAAACATTTCAGATTGGAGCTTGAAATAGAGTGTCTGATTATGTAGCTAGACTAGGATACAGTAGGTGTGGCATGAGGAAACCTTGTCTTTTTTTGTGATTTTGTCTAACCACTGAACTCTGTGCTTGCTGTAATTTCTTGAACAATGACAATCTCCTGACAGCAGTAGAAAACACTCTGTGTCACTGAGACCCTCTGAGCCACAATTAACAGTATTGGATTCAAGAGAACCCCCAAAATAAGAAACTGCTCCTTTAGGGGGAATGAAACCCTATCTGGGACAGATTGATCATCATCTCTTCAGTCAGCACAGTCTGAATCTTAGTTTGTTGGCCCTTATCAAGCCCATTATCATGGCCAGGCATTAATTTTATATAGCCACTGCCTCATCTGCTGAAGATAAAATGACAAATAGAGCAGTATATCACCATTGTACTGATGACATCATGATTCTAAACTCTAGAAGACCCCCCAAGCACTTTTATGTAGGTGTTAACTAACATGGAGGGATAAGCTTGATCCTTGTGGAACTCCAAACTGAATAATCCCTGTGGCCAAACAGTGATAATCTGAGAAGGAGTGCATTAACTACAATGCTATGCCCTTTTCCCAACTCAGTCTCTTTACAAAGGTACTACAAATGATGGTGTTGAAGACTGCTGGCAGATCAAAGACAATAAGAATCTGTCTCTCTACTGATGTAGGTCATTGACTGCCCAAGGTAACCAAAGGATTTTCTGTGGCTAGAACTCTAAATAAAATGAATCCACGAAAATAAGTAATTCAGAATCAGTTTTGAGAGTGTTTCCGGTTGGCAACAAAGAAACTATGGTTTGTTGTGATGCACATGAGCCACAGCACACTGCAGATTTGCGTGCTTCCCTTCCCTCTTCACTAGCCCAGTAGGAGACTAGAGGCCTTGACATCTATTTCTAATTATCTGAATTGTGTGGCTTTGTCCAATCCTGTTGACTGGAAGTTGATCTTAATTACAATATGTTTCAAAAAAACAAAAAAACAAAAAACAAAGAACCCCCCTCCCCCAAATGAAGGGTTATAAAACTGATGTGTTTAAACACACCCTAGTTAACATCAACCACAATTTAGGGTTCAGGGATAGTAAAAATGGAAATGGAAAAAGTCTCCTTCTTGCAGATGAACCAGGAAACAGAAGGGGGGACCATGTGAACATAAGGCATGCCACAGTTTGTTCTATTAATGGTCCGCCTCTTGGCTTATTGTTATGCCCATAAGTCTCAGAGTGGTCCTTCATAATACATGGATACATCCGTTTACAGAACTACTATGTACTATTTTCATCTGTAGTCTGAAAATCTAGGGAGTGCAGCTTTGCAGTTCCTGTGCCACCATGTGGTTCTCAATTGGCATTGCCGGAATCAGAATGGAGAAAGAAAGTTACAATTTCTCAGTTTTACCTTTGAAAGTATCTTCCTAGTGAGATACATCATTATCTGCATATTCTCTGTATAAGATAATTTAAGAATAAAAAGGCACTTTAAGATGACCCCAAGACCTGGAAAAGGGAAGCACTGGAATCAAATCAAATCAAATCAAATGGAATGAAATGAGATAAGTAAATATGAATAAGAAGTCCAGTCCATGCAGAAAACAAAACTTTACAAACAAGGTGCATCTGTTTATTGTGGTCAGCGCTTTCAGAAAGCCTGAGAATCACTTAAGCATGTGACTTAATGAACTGCTAAAAACCCGAGTCTTATGGGGCAGGTGTCATTGCAACTTCCTGCTTCCTCCACTACAGGCTGCTCTGATAATTATAGGAATATAGGAATCATATGGAAGAGGACAACAAATCTGTTTCCAGACTTTACAAATCCTGAAGTGACATGAGATAGAAGGAAGAGAAAATGGCAACACCACTAGTTCCATAACATGACAAAACAAAGTCCCCTGGATCAACATGTGATCTAGCTTGTTTCTGACATATTGCACTACCAGATGTTGTGACTAAGCAATTACGGTAATGGGTGTTAAGACAAGATGCAAAGGCTAATGACCTTCAGGTTTTACAGCGCTTGACACTCATCAACTTTTCAGTCAAAGTCCTAGCAAGAGCAAAGTTAAGTCATTTGGTTAGGATAATGTGAAAAATCAAAAAGTAACACAAAACATGCTAGCATTGTGATGCCATACCACTATAAAATATTGATTGGGCACCTGGGCTATCCATGTTGTGTAGCAGAGTGAGGAAGCCAACTCAGATGCTAAAGTAGGAGAATTATTAACATACAACAAGTTGTCACAAAAAATCAGTTTGCCAAATAATCTTGTATATGTTCCCTTGGTGGAGTGGGCCATTATCTGTGACAAGCTACTGACACAGGGAATAAAAAAGAAGGAAGGCAGAGAAAACCACTAATTTCTGGCAATATTTTTGCCATTCCTTTAATCCTTGTTTTGAATGCAAAGATTCACAAACTTCCAAAGGATTTTCAGGCTTTCAGGAAGCTCTGCATTCCATAGAGATAGAAAAGGGATCCGGGCTTAAGGGAAAGGTGAAACCTAAACTCTTTACTCCTCCAAATAATGTCTCAGAGAGCTTTTACAAGGACATCTTCCCTAAAAGTAAAGGGGGTGCAAGCACTCCTTTCCTCCGGAATTGAGCACTAGCACATTACCTGAGGTGCTGTATGAGAGCCAAAGTGTCAGAAATTTGGTATCATACATAAACATTATGTAATCCCTGAGCTACTCAGCTTTTCAGTGAAGATATGACAACGTGTGGCCTGGGGATATTAAAAACCTGCTAGAACAATTTCACTGTCTTTCTTTTTCTGTCAGAGTTCTTGAAGTAATACTTCCATCCAGGGTCTGCCAAATATATATTTGATTTGCATGTAATCAATTAAGTAATCATTAGAAAGCTAAATTATAAATTACAGAAATCTTTAGTCAGTTGACAGATCTGCTCAATTTTTTTAATCAAAGTTTTTTTTTTTAGCCCAAGTATACACACACACACAAAGCCTGTCATGTTGAATATACCAACACAAACTTGCACACACTGAATACTTACTTTCCTTGTAAAGTTTTCTTTTATTTTTCTTGGTGTGGGTATTTTTGTGCTCACACATGTCACAGAAATGGGTAGGATTTTTTTTTTGCACACAGAACAAAATGAGATCATTGATTTAGGTTTGCAATCCTATTTACACCTATGTGGGAGTAAAACCTATTGAACTGATTCTTGGATACATAGGTGCAGCATTCCAGCATCAGACTATACATTAATTACATTTTATTTCTTCTGCCTATTTGTAGAACAACACAAGTGTGTTTGTGTCCAAAAGGAACATAAACTGTATATAATTCTAACACAAAAGCTCTATGGATTAAGTCCGTAGGCCGAGGGTCCACTGTATTATTATTCTTTATGTACTGTAGCAACAATAAATGAACACCAGCCACACCTCAGCTGTCATTTCTCCTGCTCTCCTCACATGGAGGAAAGTGGGTCTGAAGTGGTGAGTCCTACTATCTATAGAAGCTCTCCTTGTGTGTCGCAATAATAGAAAACGAGGGATGCAGCTTACATAGATAGCCTCCATGGGTAGCTGAGACTTTCTACTCCAAATTGCTACCTTCTGCAAGAGAAGCGGAGATGGAAGGTGTGAGGTGAATGAGCTCCTCGTTTTTGTGTGATGATGATAGGTGCTTAAGGAACAAATGAATTGTGTTGCCAAGCAGGTTAGTAGGGGCACAGTTCAGCTAGGGCTGGTTTCCGCCTGTGTGAAATGTCCCTATTGTGGCCACAAAATATTTTAATTTTTATTGCTCTCATTGGTCATCACCAGCATGTTTATCATCTAGTTTTTATCCTCTGCTTATCTCTCTTCTGCCCATATTTTTTTCCACAAAACAAAAACAAAGAGGATAAAAAGGGGGACAGTTCCAAAATGCTCATCCCTGTAGTTCTCCTTGGATGTAAAACTTAGAATCAAGGAAAACACAGGGCTAGTGCTAGCTGGGGGGGGGGGATACTATAACTGTAAATATATCTGTCTGTGATTGTGAATTTAGATTGATTCAATGGGATCTGAATTATGGCATACACTGTGTAGCTTTCTTTGCATTATGTGTTCATGTCAATGAATTTAACAGCACTTGCTGTTTTCATTTCTATTCAGAACATTTGGTGAAAGTAAACAATAGTTACAGCTGAAAAACTCAAAATATCAGAAATATCCTTAATATTCAGGTTATTTTTTCTCTACATCTCTGTACTATGCTTGCAATGTTCTATAAATGCATGGAGGGGCACAGAAATCATGATAAATCAGGGACTAGTTTTGAAGGGTATTGTAAATCTGCACTTACCTGTCCTGCTTTTGCATTTTCACAGACAAAGGTTTCATAGTACTTGGCAAATTCTGGTGCGTGATCATTTATATCTAAAATACGGATGAAGATGGGTGCTTGGGTGCTTTGTTTGGGATTGCCTGAATTAAAAACAAAGAATAAATGCAGAATGGCCCCAATTTTATGTCATCTTCATGTTTATCAGAACAAGTGCAACAAAAATAACACCACCCTTACAGAAATTGGGCCTATCAGGAGAGTTGGGAGAACACTAAGGACTGAAGAAGTAAACTACAGAAATATGTGAACAATTCTTCCAGTGCTTTCACTTTTAATGGTAAATGCAAAAAAGTAGCAGCTATTATAACTGTTAGTTTAGCATATTTAGAGAAATGCACAAAAATCGGGCTTACGAAATGAAGACTATGGGTTTGACTAGGAAGGAAGGAAGGAAGGAAGGAAGGAAGGAAGGAAGGAATCTTTCCATCTCATGGTGAGTACAGTTTTTGTATTTAGTTTTTGCTTTTTCACTTATTGTGTAAGACCATACCAGATCAGGACTTACATTTTTAATAATAAAACCCATATTTTGTGTCTCAAGCTCAACCTCTAAGCAGGGATGAGAAACATTCCTGTGCAAAATTCTACACATTTGTTGCCACACACTGGAGACATAGACTAAACTAAGTGAACCTATGAAACAACTTGACAGAATAGCTTTTGATGGACTGAGCATGTTGCTCCTAAGACTTTATCATTACACTGAGCTCGTGCCCAGTTATAAATTATAGAATATTAAACATTTAAATAACAACTAAGCTATAATTTTGGCAGGGGGTTCAATATCTAAATATTTAAGGATATAGTGTTACAATATGGCTTTGGTCTTTTCCTCGCAAGGACTTTACAAGATATATTTGGCTTAGGGAGTGTGACTGGCTCAAGGCAATCCAGTGAGTTTTATGGCTGAGTGGCAATCTGAACCCAATTTGAGTCCTACTTCAGCACCCTAGCAACTACACCACATTGGCTTTTTCATGAAAGAAGAAAAATAAGTCAGAAGTAAGTTTCATGGAATGGGATATAAGCCCACAGAAGTACACACAAGATCATAGCTTGTCCATTTCCTTCCCTCCAACTCATGCTATCATATACCCACAACTTACTGACTTCAGTGGCTATGACTGTCAGGTTGTGCCATGGAGCTGCTTCTCGGTCAAGCAGCTTTGAGACAAATATAGACCCATTTCCTGAGTGGATGTTAAATATTCTGTCCAAATCAGTGTGCCGATCCAAAGAATATCTGTCAAATGACAACATGTGCCTCATTAATTTCTAGGACACCGTGTTCTTTATTTCTTCTCATTTTTGACGTTTCAATTTAATATATAATTACAGAAGTTTGTTTAGGCTGAAAACATAAGGAGAAGAATGTGAAAGGTGAGAAAAAACAAAGCATAGATACATATTTTGTTTTTGTTTTTTTCCTTAACAGGTAGGCTTTAAATAATTCAACATATCTGCAGACTAGACAGAAACAGAGGGAGGAAGCATACTTTCTTGAAACGTCTTAATATTTAAGAGGTCTAGTTGTACGCCTATAATAATGTCTGAGAAGAGGAGTTTAGTGTAAGAGTCCATGCTTTTCTACTTGATTTCTAATCACAGGATTATAGCTTTAATCATATGTGCCTGAAATTATTATTTTGAAATCATGCACATACAGTAGGTACACAAGTGGTAGGTAGGTGTGAGAAGGGTCAATGTTCATGCTCCACCATAGTCCCCTTTAACAGACACAATGGAACCAACTCCTTGTTCCAACAGGGTAATATTTACTAACAGCTTTTTGAACAACGTATTGAAGGAGAATTATTCTCCTCCAGGTTCAACCTTCTCCTCCCCCTCCAATGAGGGGAGAAAGTGGTTCAACAACTTCATTTCCAAAATGTCTCTTTTCCCCACCTCTTCCATAGCACAGACCTGATTTTCTTTCATTTCTATTTCCAAGGTGAGGTTGCAGTGACAGCCGCAGCATGGGCAGATGTGAACCTCCTACCATTTTTCTACTTACCTGCCCCCAGGCTGGGCCATATTTCCCAGACTCATGTGAGTGAGGAAGTCCATCCTTGTGCAAGGCACTCCATCTGTCTTTCCTCTCACTCCATCCTTCCTCCCAAGTACCTCCTTCCAGCACTCTTCTTATCTTGCATCTCACCCGTTCTCCTCAATAGGATGGCTGTATCTGGAGACAGTGCCTTCCTTGACTTTCAGTTTCCTCTCTAGGCACCCTTAGTTTTCCCCCCTCAGCTCAGGGGTTCTTTTTAATTATCCAGTCACACCCATTGGTCACTTTTAATTCCTCCTTATTTTCCTCTGTTAACCCAGCTTCACCTCTCACACCACTTTAGCCCCATCTCCCTTTCCCTCCACATTTATGTTCTCCTCTAGCTCCTGTTCCTCCTCCCCAATTAGTTGGATTTTTCCTACTTTTTACCCTGCTAAATGCAGGCTCTTCTGACCCCTAGGGGGCTCCCCTTCTTGTTCCATTGATCTCCTTATGGGATCAGTGGCATGCCATCCCTCTGCTCCTGTGGGAAGAGAGAATAGCACATGGAAGGTGCCTCCATCTCACTCTCCTTCTCACAGTAGGTTTTATACTCCTCAGAATGCACAAACCAGTTGGTGAAAGCAGAGAAGTGTAGGCAGGGTTTTATGGACCTATTTTCACTTAGGAAATACAAAATCTAGTACAAGGTTCAAATGTTGTAATAGTATGGATCTACATTTGACATACCCATACAGGTCAAAACCCTCATAATAGTGGGAAGAAAGCTTAGGAAACTGGGCAGCATGCAGAGAAAGATCATAATCTATAAAGTTTACCTAATCAATACGTTAATGTGTTTTACTTCTGCTGTGACTTTCCTGTACCATAGAACTTTTGGACTTCTGATAGTTCTCTTTCACTCTGACACAAAACAAATTCCTTTCAAAAAGAAAGCAAAATTCAGGATCTATACCTTCACCTTACTTTCATGGAAAATGAGGATATATGTAAATATCTTGTTTTTTATCATGGCTTTTCAGCTTCCCCCATGGCTATTAAAGCGCAGTGTACGATGTCATGACAGAACGACATAAGATAGAAGGCTTTGTGGAGGAAGCAAATGATAAGACTAAGCTGCCAACATCCTTCCTTTTCTTGAAAACTGCAGTGGCAGTGTGACAACCAAGAATCCTTGGGGGAAACAGGAATAAAAGTGCTACCATTTTGAGAGTCTCTAAGTAGCACTTAAAATGTACTACTTGATTACACACCTTTTCTTGTATGCATTGATTTGACTCCATGAAATATCATATTTTTAGGTAATTTTGAAAATCTCAGGGGAAAGTACTGCAAGAAAATCTTGGGGAAGATATGGGGGGGATTACAAACACACTACATGCTCCTGCTTTGAAAACAATATAGATAACATGCTTCACACACACACAAATCTGAGGATGATACTTTTGGTAAAGACCCACATTTTATTAGCTGGATTATATTGCAATTAGTCCAAGTAATAAAAATCTGAAATTTTAAAAAAGTGTTCTACTGCTACTGTATAGGAATGGAAAATGTAGATGCCTCTATCACATACTCACATAATGACTGAAAGGATGTTTGGTAAAAGAGAATAGCCCCTGAATGAAGGCTATTTCAAAAAAGGTTCTTCAGAACTGGGTTTTGGAGGAGGATGTGAGAGATAGGAAAGGAAGAGGTTTTCCATTCTTTGTTATCTGTCCCTATCGTCAGACATGAAGGTGGAAACATAGAAATGGAAATGAAAGCAGCTTGGTGTTAAATAGTGACAGCAAGAAAGAAAACAGGCATGAGATACAGAAGATGTGAGAGGCATAAGGGCAGAGAGATCTCTGTCTATTCATCCTTCTTTTTGATCAGAGAATAAATGTCCACAGTTCCTATTTTTGATTATGACAGCAGCAGAATAAACAGTCAGAGACCAAAGTTTGCTGTTCATATAGACTGCCGATTTATAAAAGTGCATTAAAAAAAACCCTTTCCTTCAACTGTTCTACTTCACATAAGAGGTTGTTATCCCATAAAAAAGAAATTGTGCACTTGTTGCATTGATAATGCACCTTCCCTTCTGTGAACTCAATGATGTGGCACCTCTAGCTTTTCTTGTTCGTACAACCACTTTATCTTTACGATAACCTGTGATGTAGGTTAGGCTGTGAGATAATGACAGGCCTAGGGCCACCCAGTTATCTACATGGCTTCTAACAATACTCATTCTGCTGTCTTGTGAGGAAGAAGGGGTCAGTGTCCAGAGCACTATGTCCTATAAGGTGCCATATAAATAGGCATATGAATAATGAAACAAATAAAAATGTCTCAAAAAACCTGTTCTGTTTTGTTTTGTTTTTGGCAGGCAGGAGATTCTGTCAGAGGGTGGCCACTGCTCTGTGACCAAAAAAGGAGGGTTCTTTGGCATAAAATTTGCATATTCTAATTTAAATTAATAATGAAAAACATCACTATTAGACATTTTTGCTATAATTTAAGTGGAAACACATTACTGTTTACTATACTGCATAAGATTGAGACTAGGTAATCATGTTATGATTAGATCTATTTATCAATCAAAGCTATGCAACACCAAAAAGGAAGACAGTCCTCTAGCCACCCAATGTCACTGAGAGGGCACATTAAACATGTAGGCTAAAACCTAAAACCCAAAGTGGAACAACCCAGGATGAGCAATGAGATTCTTGAATCCAGGGACTACATTTCTTAAAAGCCAGTGACCTGAAAAATTGAGTTGTCCTTCCTGTGGAAAGGAAACAGCACAGTAGAGGTGAGGGGGTGAGTTAACACAGACTTCTGTTAAGATTAGTAAATTGGGCCATTGAGCAACAGAAACCATCTACAAGTAAAACATCCTCACGCTCACCTGAAAGGGGGACATTAAAGTTTGGAATTCTGTGTAAATACCTAAATCAATAAGGGGGTATGAAAATGATATCCCTGAATATGTGAGAAGTGATAACAGAAGTTTGAATAGCAATATACTGCCAGTTAGAGGATACTTCAGTTCAAACAGCTAGTTTTGATAGAGTAGCGAAATACGTTGTTAGCCAATGCAGCCTATTTTAGCAAATCGCATAGCAAAACCCATTAATTTTGCTAGGGTAGCAAGAGAAGAAGATTGTTGCATTTTCTTAATCAGCAAACTTTCTTCCACCTAGCAGAGACTATGAGATTTTGTATTGGTCTTGTTACTAATACAATCTGCCAGTTAGGTGAAAATATATGAACAAAGATAGTGGAACATAAACATTTTATGTATTCTTGAAGGCTTTCACGGCCAAGATCCAATGGTTGTTGTAGGTTTTCTGGGCTGTTTGGCCATGTTCTGGAGGTTTTTCTTCCTTATGTTTCACCACAGAGACTGGCAAAATGTTAGGAAGGAAAAAAGCCAGAACACTGCCAAATGGAAAACAGAATTAATGTAGATGAATATAGTTTGTAGAATTAGATAATCTGACATTCCCTGGAATCATTTTTAAAATGAAGTGATTTATACCTTAATATCCAGATGAACTTTGGCTGAAATGGTTATCTGATTTTACACTGATATTAACTCTTTCGGGGATAAATGTCAGCTATGATGGACCACCACAGACTACAAACTACAAAAGGATATTATATTCATATAGTCCTCTGAGGACTTTTGGGTGTCATACATTTGACCTTGACACAGGGGCTGAAATGAATAGACCTTGGGAATAGGTTTGTGGGAGTGGCAAAATATGATAATACACCAGTGAGTTCAGAACTGGGATGGTGGAACTTTATTACCAATCTGAAACCCTTTCTTGTGTGCTTGACCGTCACATTTGCCAGACATTTATCTAGAAAATATGCTGATATAGAGGACAGAAAGACATTAACCAGCTTTTATTTTCAGTGGATCAAATCCTATGATCTCCTACTATCCTAAGACTCTGCAGAAGTCATCACCAAGACTCCTTTCACTGCTTTTGATCAAACCTGTTAATTTGTGAAAACCAAGTGCCATAAGTTTTGGACTGCCTCAGTGTGAATCCAATCACTGAGCCATCTGTATTAATCTTAGGAACAGTATTGCCCCCAAAACTTAAATGACTGCCATTTAGACCCAATACAGTAAATAAAATCACACTTCACAGTCCAGCAATGTCATATGCAGATACTTCGATGCTGCCTGTTATATGCTGGGAACTAAAGCAACTAAAGGGCTTCATACACATTTCAGTAATCACAAGTCAGCAATCACAACAAACTGATTCCAACCATCTGCTGCAAGAAGTCTTAATTTAGATGGGTGCCACGGTCTCAACTTGGAAATTAGGCCCAAGGGGGGGGGCTTCCTGGATATTGACTGAAAGCCTCACATCCAGTGACCTTATATTGAAATAAAATTAGACTTAAACACAAAGAGCACTGTGCTGTTGGAGACTGACACTTAGCTGTTTGCTTATGACTTCAGTCTTGTTCAATACTGATTCCTTAACTTAAAACAGAATTTGTCAACTTCCTGAGGATCCCTCTTCAGTATTCTTAGGACAATCACTTTCTAGTGTCTGTTTTAAAACTGAAGTACTGTATGTTAATGACAAAAGTTTATCCAACATTCAGCACAGTCCCGGGAAGTTCCCAGACTAAGGGAATGATAAACTGTGTATTCGCAAAGGCGTTCACGGCCAGGATCTAATGGTTGTTTTGGGTTTTCTGGGCTCTTTGGCCATGTTCCGAAGGTTGTTCTTCCTGATGTTTCACCAGTCTCTGTGGCCGGCATCTTCAGAAGACTGGAGAAGACTGGTGGTGTTTGTTGGATAGTTGAGCATTTATAGCTGTGGGAAACAGCTTTTGTCTTTTTTCAGGAGATAGGGTGATCAGCATATTTTTGTTGTGATAAGGGAGGGGGAGGGAGAGATTATCTGTCACTGGGATTGATGGGTGTCATTAGCTGGTCTTTTTTGTGCAATGATACCCAGCCCTTGTGGCTGGGTAGAGTTCGTTGACTTTTTTTAGGTTGTATTTTTCAGAATGGGGAGCCAGGCCATGTTTAGTTTTAGGCCTTCTTCTTTCCTGTTGAAGTTCTGTTTATGTTTATGGATTTCAATGGCTTCCCTGTGCAGTCTAACATACAGATTGCTGGTGTTGAAATGTCAGGAAGAACAACCTTCAGAACACGGCCAAAGAGCCCGAAAAAAACCACCACAACAATTGGAATGGTAAACTCCTTCTGAGTATTCTTTACCTAAAACCCCCCGGAAAGGATCGCCACATGTCAGAATTGACTTGATGGCATGCATTTATTATTAAAATTTAGCTGGCTGGATAGCCCAGTGAGTTACATATCTGGCTGCAGAGTTTTGGATTTCAGTTCTGCACTGTGCCTTCCGGAAGAGCCAGCCTGTGTGACCTTGGGCAAGCTACACAGTCCTAGAACACTCCCAGAAGAAGGTAATGGTAAACTACTTCTCTTCTTGAAAAACCCTGAAAAAGGTCACCATAAGTCAGAACTGACTTGATGGCACATGAGGATGATCATTTAATCAAGCACTCAGTACATTACACAGGGATGTGTAAATACTGTACTTCTGTGTTTACACCTGGAATGGGAAACGTGTAGCCTCTCCTTATTGTTAGACTGCAACTTTTATCACACACCACTGGAATGCTGGCTAGGGCAGGTGGAGTCAAAGTGCATCTGAAAGACCACACACAGAAAAAACCAGCTGTGTGGTCTATCCATAGAAGCAAAGTTCTGGCTTGAGTATTACCCTCGTTGAGTTGCTATGGCATACCAACAAAGCAAGCTTTTAAGTTCTATCAGGATTCATCATCAGGTACTGATGGCATAAAATTTGGCAGTAGGAGAGGGAGCAGCAGTATTTTGCTGTTGAATATACCATGATTAAGCTGCTAGGATCAAATTCTACTGCCAGAGTACTAATTCTTTGGCAGCAGAATTCTACTTTCTGTAAGAGGTGCACTTCAGTAAACATTCTATCTCTTTGAGCCACTAGGCACAGCTACCTATTTGGCTGCAATTAGATTTTTATTGTAGTGGGAAACTTAAAATTAAATTCTGCTTTTGCAGATAGACGTTTATCTTGTTCCATGTATTTCTGCTCCAACGACAAAGGAGAACTGTATTCCTCACACAAGACAACAGAGGGATCCACAGGACATCTAAGCCTGGATTTTGGTTGCAGGGAGAGGGCAAACTGGAATTCGACACCTTGACACTTCCATCTTAGCTGAAACTGCAAGTTCCATGGTGTTTTACCAGTAGCCTGAACTCAGGAACAGATGTCCTAACATCTGACCCAATAATGTACCGTCTCCTCTACTCTCATTTCTTCATGAGAATGAGTTCTGGTACACAATAGTGTACCTTGTTTGTAACTTACAGTGATCCAAGAAGATACTAACTAAGCCAGAACTCTGGAGACACAACTTGCCCTATGTATCCAGTGTGGTGTAGTATCTGGAGTGACAGACGAGAATGCAGGAGACTTGCATTCAAATCCCTACTCATCCATGGAAACTCACTGGAAGGTGAATAACACTGATGAAACCACTCCTTAAATATTTTATCCACTTTGACATGACAGTATACATAATGTATACACCAAAGAGCTATCCATGCCATTACCTTGAAACACATGAATGAGCAAAAGGGTGTACATACATTCATTTTGTTGAATAATAAGTACATGCATAATTAACTAATATATGCACATTTATGAACAGCCAAACCCTAAGACAAGGAGTAGCTGTGCAAACCAAATTAGGCAACAATAAAAGATTCTTTCTTTTCAAACCTCCCTTCAAGAATGATACTATGGAGTATAAAATACTTTATACTTTCTAAAGAACCATGCACTTAGATTTTAAGTGCATGGTTCTTTAGAAAGTGTAAAGTATTTTGAGTTAACTTCTCCTTTTTAGGGTACTGGATAGCTGTAGTATGTAATTGTAACAAATTAAAGTAACAATGTGGAGCAGTGCTTTGATAGGTGACTTATGTTTACACACACACACACACACACACACACACACACACACCTTGTTATGGAAGAATACAGGTGTTGATACGCTGATTTTTATTTGTCAGTGTCAAAATCGTGAATAAAATGTCATTTCAAAACATGTTAGGAACAACAAGAAGCTGTTTCCCCTTATACAGCTGTTATTTATATCTCCATATGTTTTTCAGCAGCTGTTTCCATCTCTTTTGCTACTTCTGCACACACCCACAGCCACGTGAACATATCGTATCCATGTGCACAACTGTTCATGGTAGCATCATTGGCATTGCCCTCAGATACCAAAAATATATTAGTGAAAGTACTAATTCTTGCATAACACACCAACAGACTGTGTCCCATTTGCAATTTTAAGCAAAGTCTGAAGAAATTGTAATTATTGTGTTGGGCAGCCTAATCTCAAGCAACATACAACAGCCCCATGTGCTAGTTTCTCCTGTCTTTATTTACCTTACTGACTTGCTGTGAGATAGTACTCTATTTTGCACCCAGAGTAGTCTGAGAGAGCCTTTTACTGCATCTTACTTTCTGTTCCTCCTTTAAACAGGACGGACCTATTTTGGAATTCATAACATGAAATGATCCCTAGCAGCAAGGTTCTTGCATTGACATACCTTACTGGATAGACACATGCAAGCAATACAATACTTTGTGCAGAACACAAAGTTGTGTACAACACCACCACCCCCATTTCATCAGTTTTTGTGCTTTTGATGAAAAAAGTGCTGGTCTTTTCATACTCACACAGAAAAAATTGTTGACCAACCAACCAACCATTTGTTTTTGACAAGGTGTCTCAATGTGTGGAGACAGCCTTCTTCATTGTGAATAGGAAGATTCATGGTTATTTATTACAACTTTCGCCTTGGCTATATTTTCAAGAAATAATATGTGTAACCTGGGCTGGAGTAATAGGATGGACATATATATCAGATGTGATCTTCAGTAACTGGACATATATTCTTGGGTAATCTATCCATCAGAACCAGTTCTTTGGTTCCATCAGTGCTGTCTGGGACCTTTTTCACCCAAAAGGAAAACAGCATATGTTCTGAGTCATTCTAAGTTTTGAGCTGAAAGCTGGCACTTCAAAGCTCAGGTTGTCAGCTACAGTAACATCTGTGACTCTGAGATATATACTGGAGAAACATCAATGGTGTCTGAGATCTGCAGACTATCTCTTGTGTTATAATGCCAACAGGAATAGACATGTCACATAAGCAAAAAGTGTGAATCAAGTTAACATGTGAACTAGCTCGTATGGAATTAGAATTGAAAAATGGAATTCATAACCCTGTTATATAAAAAGACACTGAAGGTCCATTGCAGTCAACATCTATTTCAAAATAAGTGGTACATGGAGCGAGATCTCAAATAGTCTGAAGTCATGTATCACCATACTGCTACACCCTAAGCAAGCTTGACTTTAAAAAGTGTGAGGATATAGGAGCATCAGTGAACTAGATATGATTCACTCCAATGTTCTTAGTATTATACAGCCTTCCCATATCTGATGGCCCTCTAGATATTTTTAACTGTAACTTCCATCAGCTCTAGCAAGCTTGATCAACATATAAAAGAAAATGACTGGGAAAATACAAAATATATCATTTATGTATTTTCCCAAATGTTCTTATATACTGGGTGATATATAAGTTAAATACATAAACAGATGAATTTGAATAATAACAAGAAAGTGAAAACACCTTGATGAAATTGGTAACCACTCATCTCTCTAAGTGGCAGGGCTTCAGCAAAGACTTTTTAACAACATTTGAAATTGGATGCCACTGTTCAGTTGTTAGACATATAGGAAAACCACACTTCCAATGCATTTTTCTGTTGCTTATGGAAGATGACTTACTTTATGATGTTCCTTGCTGCATCTGGATCCTGAGCTATCACTTGCCCAATGATACTTCCCTCCCTGGCATCTTCATCAACTTCAATTAGGCTTGAAGGTATGCTGAATACTGGTGGCTCATCTATGTCTTCCACATAAACTTTGACCAAAGCTGAATCCTTAAATGGTCCCAAGTAGAAAAATTGTGGATCAGGATGTGAGTTGGTTGCTTCAACTTTTAGGATATATAGGTTCTTCTTTTCAAAATCCAGTTGCTTGTGTCAAGATGTGGGAGAAATAAAAAGAATGCCACATAGAAAAGCAAACACATTTTACAAAGAGAAAGAAATACAACTATTACTGGAGGGTCATGCTGCTCATTTCAATGTTTGCAATTTGCTCTTAATGTAGACAGAAATTTGATCTGGCAATTAGGCTGGCAAGCTCTTGGCAGCAGCCCTAGGGTGGCCACAAGTATTCAATGAGCAGGATAACAGAAATCTGGTGCCAATATTGTCATTTGCCAAATGAAACAGTAATTTGGCTAAATGGTTTGCAAATTAAATTAAAATAAAAGACAAAGGAAACACTGAGTATTTTTGAAAATCAATGGTTACAGAAATAGGCTGGAATGCCATACCATTCCTGTCCTACTGATCTTAGTGGTGCTGATGCCTGCATACATGTCAGTTGGATTACATGATCAATCCTTTTTGCTCCTTCTTAATGGCTACCTCCAGTGTGTCCATCATGCAATTTGTCTGAGCAATTCAAGCGGGGATGGGACATAGTTTTGATGGCTTCCTTTCAAAGTCCTGCAATGTTTTCTGGGTGAAATGCAGAATATTTCTGTTTAGGTCAATAACTGGTGATAAGTTCAATGAGATGGAGCAGAACCAGAGGGTGGGAGTTTGTTTTCCCACTGTGTTCGTGTGGTCCTGAGCAAACTCCATGGTCCCCAGTACAAGGGAATGTTAAACCACCTGAGCACCTAGGAAACTTTAGAAATGGGCAACTTAAGTCACAACTGACTTGGTAACATAATTATTAATACTTCATAATTCAGGATAAACATATGATATTTTGCCACATGTTTAATTCTTTGTACAGAAGTGTATTTATAAAGTTAGCAGTAAATACAGCTTGTCTTATACGACCTGTTCATTTTATTTCTCTAGCTCTCATTTTCTGTAAAGAGTCCAAGGCAGCATGCATGATTGTGTCAAGGTTTGAAACCTGGTATGTTGAATTAAGTTTGAACAATAACATAATGATTAGAGGTTTTCAAAATAATGAGTCAGCTTCAGCAGAGCAATGTCAATTAATTATAAACATGTCTTGGCAACTGAATGAATATTTTGGTTATAATTTGTCAACAATAGGTATGAGCTTATTGTTTTTAAAAAGAGGTAAATTATGTAATGTATATTTTGAATGAAAATAGCATTTGTTGTCTTAAGGTATACTCTATCAGCGATTAAATAATTTAGCCATGGATTAGAACCCTCGAGTCTTGTTAGTCTAAAGCAGTCATTCTCAATGGGGGTCATATAACACATTTCAAGTAGGGCACAGATTGGACAATCAAATCCTCAGACAAGGAGTAGCTGTGCAAACCAAATTAGGCAACAATAAAAGATTCTTTCTTTTCAAACCTCCCTTCAAGAATGATACCATGGAGAAACATGCACTTAGATTTTAAGTGCACGGTTCTTTAGAAAGTCTAAAGTATTTTGAGTTAACTTCCTCTTTTTAGGGTACTGGATAGCTGTAGTGGGTAATTTATTTTGAAAGTATCCAGATTTTAATAGCTGAAATGTTTCTCACAAAAGGCCTTTCAAATGGGAGAAACACAGATTTCTTATAACACTTTGAATGAATGGTAGAGGCTTATCAAGAAGGAAAGATTTATCAAAGACTACAGCTGCTTTTGGGGGACATGGGAGATATTGAAAGGAAAGCTCACAGCCCATACTGAAAGGAATGAGAATCTAACACTCGGATTGTTTTAAACCACCACCACCACCACCACCATCATCATCATCATCATCATCATCATCATCATCATCATCATCATCATCACCGAGTGACTCCTCCAGAAAGGGGGTCATTCTGCCATGTTTCTTCAGAGAATTAGCATAAAATTTTCTATGGCATATTCAAAGTATTTGAAGAGGAGATTGACTCCATGTCTGGAGCAATCTAAACTTGTCAGCATTTTGTATAAAATGAAATATGGAATTGCTCATCATCATCATCATCATCATCGAGTGACTCCTCCAGAAAGGGGGTCATCCTGCCATGTTTCTTCAGAGAATTAGCATAAAATTTTCTATGGCATATTCAAAGTATTTGAAGAGGAGATTGACTCCATGTCTGGAGCAATCTAAACTTGTCAGCATTTTGTATAAAATGAAATATGGAATTGCCTTGGTGGTTTGTGGGAAACCAGAAAAGGCTGAATCACTCAGGTTGGCAGTTAGCCAGAGTGAAAGTCATGTGACACTGCTGCACATGTGCAGAGTTCAATATGCTGTGTCACTGCTGCATCAGACTACACTACATAAGCAAGGTGCTTACTAAGCTCAGTTGTTGGGTTAATGTATGGAGGAGCAGCACGTTACTTTGTCTGTTAGAATCATGGAATTGCCAGTTCTGAGGTGCGACGTATGTATATTTGTAAATACACTCTCGGTGAAGGGAACAATTCTCTGTGTCCCATGTCTTTGTTTTTGTTGTTTGGAGATTACAAGAAGAAGATCTCTAGAAGCTTAACAACTTCCACTGTGTATCTCTTACCAAATCTTATTAAAACTTTTGAAGCTGTAAGTCGGGACCCAATTACCTGTCAGTAGGATAACTTTTTAACTCCTTCCTGACCAAAATGACTGTTTGGGATTCATCATTGCAAGGGGATTCTGTGTCTGTTTGTAAAAATGCAGACATAGATATTAAAAAGAAGAAGAAAAGAAGAAGAGAGACCAAATATTTAGATAGTCACTATAAAATTACAATTTTTTTATTTTATAGTTTTTGATGGTCTTACTCAATGTTAGTAGAGCCTTGATAATAGTGTTGTGTTTCAGTGAGAAGTAGTTAACTAATGAAAAAAGGAGTCAGCATCTGCATGGTTTCACATTGTGAATGGTAGTGACCAGAAGAGAATATCCTGTAGACCAATGGTCCCCAATCGGGCCTCCAGATGTTCTTGGACTTCAACTCCCAGAAATCCTGGCCAGCAGAGGTGGTGGTGAAGGCTTCTGGGAGTTGTAGTACAAGAACATCTGGAGGCCCAAGGTTGGGGACCACTGCTATAGACCATCTTGACTGCTGCCATTGGTATCATCAATATTCAGGTTACTGATGGTTGTTGTGGGTTTTTCGGGCTCTTTGGCCGTGTTCTGAAGGTTGTTCTTCCTAAGGTTCAGGTTCAGGTAATTCAGGTTACTCTTTGCTAGGTAAAGTTTGGAATCCTTTGTCTTGCTGGTAACATGGGCAAGATATTGCCTACATTTATAAACTGGAATGAAATTTATAAACTTTGTTTAAAAACTAAATCTCATCTAGGTGGTTGTTATAACACTATACCTTAGTTTAACTTTGTTTGTTAATTTATGTCACAAGCCTCAGTGTAAAAAAGTAGGTGTTCAGACAGGAAGTTTCAAATGCCTATCTTTTAAGGAAGTACACCACTATTTTGATTTGTCCACCGGTGTGAACCTGTGAGAACCAAGCACTTCATCTTTATGCATTGATCAATACTGAGCTCCAGCACAAACATACTAAAGCGATATAAAATTTCTATATTTACATCATAGCAGCTGTTGTGAAATCAATGGGACTTATTTCCAAGTGAATGGGTTTAGGGATTACAAACTTAATTGCTGCAATAAGGAACTCTGAAACAACAAAGGTCCTGAAACAGGCCTTTTGCTGTTGGGATACTGTTGTTTTGGGGTTTTGAGGTTGTTGTCTATCAGTCGATATAAATCTCAATTTCATCTTGCTGGGAATTGCTGAAGCATGCTACATTTGGCATGCACCATTAGGCGCAATCCGCATCACACTGAAATCAATGTCTAAATTGCTGTTGATTTGAGTGAATAGCCTTGCAGTAATTAGAGAGAAACATAGGTAAGATATTGTTCTCGTTGAGGGATACATCTTTCTATCTGATATTTTCAACAACCCCAAACTCAGCATTTTTAAAGAAAAAAGTATATAGCAGAAGCTGATAAATATGTTTTTTAAAAAGAACAAAACAAAACAAAACAACTTTAAAAACTTCATCCTGGTATTCTAAATATGAAAATAAGATTTAAAGCAAAATTTATTAATGAAAAATAACTTCTATTTTATTTATCAAATAATAGGTCTAATGAAAAGTTTGGGAGCCAGTACTGTACATCAAGATTCAGTTAAAGAAATAAATTGGATGAACTATTTTTTAAAATCCTGGTGGTCATTCTATGGGCTAGATTTTGGCCAGATTTCAACATGCTATAAACTATCATATAGTATGATATGAGCAAGCTATTGGTTGATAGGTGACCCATGTTCTCTCCTTAGTTGTTGTGGGCCATGAGAAGGACATTGCAGTAATTTGCTTTTATTTTCAACCAATCACCATTTATTATTCTGTGAAAAGTAGATTATTTGGATAATTTAAAATTACTTCAGGCAAAGCTGAAAAACTTAATCTGCTGGATAGTTCAGTGGCTTAGATATCAGGCTATAGAGCTGGAATTTGGGAGTCCAAATCCCCACTGTGCCTCCTTGTCAAGAGCTGGACTCGATGTTCCATAGGGTCCTTTTGTCTTTTCTACAGTTCTAAGGTTGACATCAAAGATGGACATAACTAGTTCAAAATAAAAGAAAATATTTACAATCTTTCCTAGCAACCACTTCAGGAGAGGAGAGGGGAGTGAGATACCACACCAGTCCAATATAACCCTAAACCAATCTGGTACCCTTCACATGCTTCAGCTCCTAGTAGCATGGCCAAAGCTGAGAGATTACAGGAAGCCCGAAATATCTAGGGGAGATGAGGGTGTCGGCAGCTGCTTAAGTCTTAGGTCAAAACACAGGCATTTTCTTCAACAAATACATTTTATTCCTTCTGTGTATTTTCCAAGACAAGAAAAATTATCAGGCTGCAGGAGATATTTGGAGGTGGAGATCAGCAAAATGGTCATTGTCCTGTCAAGGCCACACACTACCAATAAGAGGAAGGGATAATTAATTCTTCCAGGACCTCATGATTCCTCCTAATGTCCCCCATGGCCATTTCCCCCTTCCCCCCAGCTAGGCATATTGGTCTGGAAGCTTGGCAGAGGACTGGTGGAGAAATATTACAAGATAATAGAAAAGATATTAGAAGTTGGAGGAACTGGAAAAGAGAACAAGTGGGAAGTGGGAAAAGAAACCTTAACTCCCAGAATACAGTTTTCTCCTGTTTATCATTAAGCCATAAAGATATGAAAAGTTTGAATTCTCATACCGCAATAGTATCTAAACAAAAGTCCTTTAGTTTTGGAGAAAAAATGGGAAAAATGGATGGGGGAGTAGACAGAACTAGAAGCAGAATGGACAGAAGAAAATATCTTGTCAGTCTATAGAGATAATAGAATTTTTTACTTTGCCATTTTTTTCCACTGAGAACTAGGTCATGTGATGGAGATGGTTTATACTGGAATCTATACAGTGGAGAAGAGGAGGCCAGGTCATTCAGCTCACTGTCTTAATGCAGTACTAGTCTGCCTCAACGTATGGATAACAGCTCAGAGCTTCAGTAGGCTGGAAACAGTAGAGGAAGGCCAAGCAAAGGCTTACTGTTGTGCTACTATGTTCCTGTAATTTTCACACTGTTCTGTCTACCTCAATAAGGAGTTAAGTGTGGTGTTCCTGAATCTGTTCCAAAACTCCAATCTGGAATTCTCGCAAACCACAAAAGTAAATCCCACCTCCGTCATCTCAGTGCAAACATTGCAAACAGAAAATAAATTCCACTCGTTTCTGTAGAAGGGGTTTTAATGTGTTTCTCTCCCAATCCCATTTTGCTGTGGAGAGACAGAGGACAGATTTGCTGCCTGGCACAGAAATTGGTTTTCTCTCTTTTTTTAGAGATAACCTCTGAGGAGAGACCATCTGCTAGTTTGGTGATGGGCCAACAAAAGAGGACCTGAAAGCAGATGCCCTGAGCCAGCAATTCCTTGCAGGAACTCTAATTTGCCCACAGAACGCCTTGGCCTGCAGGTGTTCCTCTATTCAGTACAGGAGAGAGGACAGCTGACATACATGCATGAAGGACACAGGAATGAGACATTCCTGAAAGCTCCCTCCCTCCCTCTAAATCCCATCAAATTAAGAAGTTGAGAGAGGAAGCTGTGTATGCTAAATACTGCTAAACACCCGTTTTTGCCTGTCTCCTTTGTCTTCTGAAATGGGAGATGTAAGCCCAGTTTGAAATTTTGTTTTTACAGTTTTTTTCTTGTCTTCCTTCAGCACAACATATAACAGTTGGACTGTTTTCCATCTACAACCAAAATGGCAGAGTTCAGCTGGTGAGCTGCTTGGTGAAAGGACCCTGCCTCCTTTGCATTCTCAGCAGGGTTTCCATTGCCATCCTTCAAAAGGGATCATGCAAGCATATTTGAGCACATCTGACAGGCCAGAGTTGCTCAGAAAATCCCTTCAGGGGAACTGACATGTTCATAAAACACAACCCCCGAAGGCCTGACTTTTTAACAGTCACCTGGCAAAGAGGGAGAAGAGCTGGCCTAATATGCCAGCACCTCACCAGTTGACCTCTTCTCCTGCTGCCTGCCTGCAAAAGAAACCTCAGACCCTAGAGTGCTAAGTCCAATAAAAGAGAAAGAGGAGAAATAAACCTTTTTGACAGTTATAATCCCTTCTTGTGTGTCCTTGTCAGTGATGATATCAAACATGTCCGATCCATCGCCAGCAGCGATGCTGTACTCAATCTCAGCATTTTCACCCACATCAGGGTCATTGGCTTTTATTCGGCCGAGTGCAGTCCCAGGCGGCGCAGACTCCAGGGAGCTGAACTGATATGTGCCTAGGAAATAAAACAACATCTGTGAGAATGTTTGTGTTGTGTGCATAGGTGTTTCATTTTTTTTCAAGCCCAGGAAAAACAGAGATGTCTCCTCAGTTGAACCATTTAAAGAATATCACCTTGAGTCACCAAATCTGTTTGAGAACAGAGGCAGGGAAGCACCTGTCAGAGAAAGACAGGGAAAAGGGAAGAGACTTTGATTCTTCAAAGGCCTCCTGGACCTTAGAACTGCATTTCTTTTGAACCTTCTTCACTTCAAATGCAAACAGTAGTATTTCTGCACCTGTTGTGACCTTAGCAATCTAGTGGCATGAATGGTTGTGTGTGACACTATACAGTATATCGTTTTATGGGTGTACTATGTATATACTTACAATGACAATAAATTATTTGATATGTGTATATTTTGAGTGGGGGGGGGGAGATCAAGAGTTTCATTCCTTTCGCTTAGACAGCCCCAGAAACTATTGATATTGGGGTCAGAACTGCCACTGAATTTCGCCTGGAGCAATCTTTGAGGTGACTTTAGAGGCCTTTGTTCAGACAACAAAGCTGTGGAAATGTTCAAAGGGCCTTTAAAGGAAGATGTGCTGAGTTTCTCAGTAGAGTCTGTTACCTCTCTGCTTGAGGAGAAGTTAAGTAACATCCAGCTGATCTGCCAATTTTGTCATTGAGTTTCCAGATATTAGAAATTTTAGTGCAAGATGGAGCCTTATGAGACACTGCATGTTGGCTGACATGCATTAGAAGATTGATCATAACATTATGCTCCCTCAAGTCTATAACCTTTTGGCTCTGGAGAAAATTGAGAACATTTGTAACTGTAGTGTCCATCAAGCAATCTTTTTCAAAGGCCTCCCATTGTTACAAGTGCCTCCTTTTTATTGCAGTAGAATAGACATGTCCACGTAACACAGAGGAAAGGTCACATGATACATCAGTCACTGTACACTAAGATTTTTAAACCTGCAATCTAATTCACAGTTGCTTGGGAATGAACATCACTAAATAATATTGCATAATGCACTTCTCAGTAAATAAGCACAGAATTGCACTCAAAGAAATGTATGTTCCTGTATGAACTTCCACGTATGCCAAATTCTTCAGATGATCTGCTTTGAGTATCATAGATTCCTGAGGCCCACAAGGTAATTACAAGGATCGGTGGTTGAGTCCTCCCTTTTTAACTCCTTCCTAAGGAAGCCTGATGATCCACCTTTTTTCTGCTTTTTAACAAGCTGGAGAAAACAGTTTCTAAACAGCCTCATTGCTGTTAATGGTTGTTTGGTGTTCTTGTTTACTGTGCTTGTAACTTGCTTGTGTTTTAAATCACATATAGTCATTTGATAGTTTTAATTTCATTTTTAATTGAATTTTTAATACTATATGAAAACCATCTTGGGGGGTCCTTCTGGATTAAAAGATGAGGTAAATGTAAATGCAGGCCAGTATGATCAAAAGATCTGAAAAAAGAAGCAAAGAACCCAAACACATACATATGTTTTTGATACATTTAGATGAGAACCAAAATATGAGGTAGGGTGCATCAAGGTTTTCAGCTAGGGAGTTAACCTAAATGGATTCCACTAAAAGCTAGTCAGAGTTACCCATGGTGGTTGGAATACAGAACTTCAGATACATGAATGCAGTCATCAGTGCCTGTATGCAGAGTTCTTTCCCTTCTCCTTTACCAGTAAGGGCATGCTTTAATGAAGAAGTCATGTAAGTTAAACCCTTTGAATGCTTCCTACTATAGAAGAAAATGACCAGCTTCTACATATAAAAAATTATATTTGTGTTGAATTTTTTTAACATAAATGAGTCTGAAATTCAGTCAATGACCTCTCCTGTTAAGACCATAAAAAAGTCCTATCAGAAACATTTGAGCATACCTGCCAATTCTATCAGGTATGGACAACTACCATGGACCAAAAGAGTATTCCTTTTCCCTCAGGGAAGCTGAAGAAGGCCACCACTGCTTTCATCAACAAAATGTATACTGCAGTGGCATGAAAATTAACTTTTGGTTTAAAGGCACAATTTTTCCTTTACAAAAAGTGTCCATCTGCTTTGTACACAAGTACTGTAGCTATGGCCGTAATCCTTTTGCAAATGTATGCTTATGTATGAAAAATCACAAAAGTTTTGATGGCAAATTGTTGCTCACTAACAACATGCTGGTGGCATTCCTGGATGTGCATTCACTTGAGGAACTGCTGGACACACAGGCCCACAAGCAGCACCTGGTTAAACCTCATCAATATGCCACCAAGTCGTAAATGATTTCCCTCACACAAGCATAAATTGGCAATTGGATTCTGGCCAGTGTGTCTCTAGAAACAGAAATCTGTTGCACAAACAGTCCAAGCAGGAAGTAAGCACAAGTAATACTTTTCTTTCAGTTGCACTATAGAGGTTTGGGGGCAGGATTAGCACCAAATATAGTGACAAGAGACCCCTGGGGCTGCCAAAAAAGGAGAGAACTGGGGCTGCATGCTACTCATGATTGGGGTGTTCCCTATCTCTGGTGTACATGATATTGAACTAGATTGATAGGTTTAAGGAAGCTTCCTATTTTCCTTTGATTCCCTCAGTTACAGGTTTTTTTAAAATCTATGTAGTTCAGATGTTCTGCATAGTCCAGAATGTGCTTCTGATTGATCAGGGAGTGTCTGTATGATTGCAGTGGGAAAATGTGAAAATCAGTACCTCGTTGACTGATCAAGGGAAGCTACAGAAAATCTTTCAAAGCATTTGTCATTCTCTATTTCTCTTCCATCACAGAAAGGCAGTCTATGTTCTGCTAGCTCAGATTATTGGACTGTTATTGAACTGTCATGAAGAGCAGGCCCACAAAGAATCATATTCCAGTTGTCCTTCAGATACATTGTGACCAGTCTGTGGGCCACCCACCATCTTGAGGAAGAGAAGGACATCAACAGAGGTGTTTGAAGGTACCCCAAAAGTATTATACTGGAACACCAAGTTCCAGTATTTGCTGATGACCCTGTTTCCTTAATGAATTGAGCTTTAAACTATGAGTGGATTTTTTTAAAGCCCTCCTCAACTGGTCAGAAGTGGTAAAGACCAAAATTCTACATCTCGGTCTTCCAATATATATTCTGTAGGTGTTGTACTATAATTCAGTGCAACACTACTTAGATGCAAGCTCCATTGAATCCATGGGACTTACTCCCATCTACAGCAGAATTGCAGCCTTGGAATCATTTCTGGCACAGCAAAGAAATTTAATTAGAACAGGAGGGAAAAAAAGGGAATTTCAAGTTTGTATTTTTCTACCTGCATTTGCGTGAAGAACCTAATTAAGCTTGTGCTCACACAATCAATAAACAAACGCAATTCCTTGTAATCACAACTCTGCATTAAAGCTTGAATTTCAATTGGCAAGAGACAAAGCTGAAGCAGGCTTAAATCAATGTTGGCAGAAACGTACCTGCACAAAAGAAATCTGATAAAATGTCAGTGTAGTAAGAAGGGACATATTTTGATTTTTTTTCTCCCCAGAAGTTTCCCACCCCACTCTGAAATGAAAATAAACGATTGGATGCAAATTGTATAATGCCAATTCTGTAAGAGCACTAGACCAAAATGTACTGTACGGGAAAAGGGCCCTTTAGGGGGAGCTGTGGAGCTGAATCAGAGCAAAGATAGCACATCATAGGCTTTTTGTGTGTGCAAAAGATGATTGAGAAGAAAAGGGTAATGTGAGCAGTGCACTTCTACAAAGGTGAAACAACCACTTGCACTGTAATCACTCTGTAACTACAACTATAACTAGAGCAGTTATACAGCATATATAGGCTCTCTGGAGACACAGCTTCCCATGAACTCTGGAAGATTTATTTGTATTGGCCCTAGCTCACTATATGTCTAGTTTGCCCCAATTTTAAAGCATCTGTTCTTTTTGTTCTCTCAGTGGCTAGGTCCCTCCCATATGTGTTTTGCCCAGAACTCCTTCTGCACTCATGATGCATTCCAGTTTCTCCTTGCCACTTTCTATATCACATGTCCTGATTTACAACGGTTCTCCTTCCCTCATCCAGATGGAAGACATTTCTACTGGCAAGTGAGCAGATGGCAATTGACTACTACAGACCTGAGTGGATGAGAGTTGTGATGGTCCATTTTTTGGTACCTCTTGTATTTTTAATAGAAACTTGTTTCTTAAAATAAGCTTGGAGGAAACTGATTCCTGGAAATGAAATCCTTACACAAGGGGAGGGAGATGCAATGGTCAAAATCTATGAGCATGGAGTGTACTTCTTTTAGGGCCTGCCAAAATATGGACTTTCCATGCTCTCAATTTTGCAAAGAGGGCAGTAGGTAGCAAAACCAGAGAGAGGCATCATGGCAAGCTTTCTAATCTTTAGTGCTGGACTTGCATCTGAAGAGTATGACAAAGCCTTTTGACTCACTATACTTTAGTTCTTTAGGGTTTAAGTAAAACAGTGGCCATGTAGGCTGGGATATTTTGGATCTGTAGTTAAAAAAAAAAAAAAGGTAATCCTCTCCCCCACCCCCCCGGAACTGACATATTCAGAATGTGTATAATGATGGGATTGGGGTGGGGGGTGAGAATATATATATATACAAATATATCTTCCTAAATTTGTAGAAAAGTTGTCTCTCAAGAGCCTATCATCTGTCATTAACACCCCAAAAAGTATTCCACTTAATCAACTCCCACCCGAGTTAGCCTTCCAAATATAAATAATTATCCTTCCCACATCAAGAGCAGAGACTAAAATTGAAAGGAATCTAGATCGTGGACCCCCCCTTTATTTATTTATTTATTTATTTATTTATTTATTTATTTATTTATTTGTTTGTTTGTTTGTTTGTTTGTTTGTTTGTTTGTTTGTTTGTTTTAGCTGATACATGAAAGGCATGTACAGTAGAACACTCATGGAGAGAGGCATACAAATTTATTTAAATGCCATTATAAATCCAAATGAAGGTAGGCAGTCCATATAAACCCTGAAGATTATCAGACAGTGGTTTATAAAAAACTGAACTAGAAGATAACTAGGTAGGTCAAGGGTTGACATATTTGTTAAAGGTGACTTGGCATCTGGCAGATATGTGCAGGTGTATAGTCACAGGGACTGTACATTTAGCAAATTAATAGGTGAGGGCAATTGTTAATCAATGAAGTTAAACTGAAATTTATAGTCTTTAGACAAGAATCCTTAGAAGTCTGTTGTAGCGTGCACAACAAAGGCCTAGTGCACACAGTATTTTGGCTGCATGGGAGACACAGTGGCACTGCTGGTAGAGAAGGATAGGGATCAATGTAGAGGACCCATAAAATCTTATCTGTTGCTTAGAGTTGAAATTGAAGCTGAGTGGAAGGCACCTCCCACTTAAACAGAGACTTCAGTAGGCCAAAATTCACAAAGGTCTATGTTAAATAAAATGTGTCAGACTTAGAGGTACCACTAGATTCTTTGTTGTACTTGTGAGAATAATGATTCATGCAAATAAGGCAGTAAACAAAGTAATAAAGTGACTAAGTAGTAAACAAAGCAGGTGAAGCTACTGCATTGTTCCATGGATACTTGTTAAGCCTTGGTTGGGTACTTTGTGTTTTTATTAACAAGCAGTCCTTCTGTACTTGCTCCATGTGCTTCTGAGACCTAGATGAAGCTCTCTGTCTCAGTAGGAGATGAGGAATCTCATAATGCTACCAAATTCCTCAGGGAGGTGTCTTGTGGTATCAGCACACCTGAAATCCATGTGGATGGGTGATCTGACAAGCATTCACATTCCTAGTCAAGATTTTTGGTCTCCATGAGAACCAAGGGCCTGTCCAGGTGCTATCTAGCATCATGAATACTGGCAACACTTCACTTGGTATTTTATCCTAGTCAGAGAGGGAATTATTTAAGTTGGAGAGGATAATTACTTCCCATGTCATGGGCAGATCATTACTTGTTTATGTACCTTAGACACATGGCAATGGCTTGGGCTTGCAGGACTGGGGGGACTTATTGCAATCAGCTATCTGTATGTTGTGTGCAGCCTGATTTGTTTCTGTAAGGTGGAGATGACCTGGCTGGTTGAAGCAGTTGTACCTAAGCATCCTCTTCCCATAGATGGAAGTTACAGAACTAAGACATTTGGCTACTAGAAAGCTGGGAATATGTAAACAGGTGGGGAAACCAGAAGAGAAATGGGAGGGGAAAGCTTAAAGTGAGTACATGTAAGCTCAGCTTTGAATTCTATCTTTATCCCCATATTTATGCCATTAACTAGCTTGACTGACCAGAACATTTTACAAGCAGAAGTGGTTTCTGAAATTTCACTTTTAGCACCAATAGGCCTGATATAATGGCCAGAGTTGGTACCACAAATTAAAAGTTCTAAGTTAAAGCAGTCATTTCAACATATAGTCCTATATGACCTTAAATAGCTAAAACATCAACAGAGGAAGACGTGTGTTGATATTTATATCCCAGATGTTGAACTACTGCGTTTAAAGAGACTTTTTGAACTATTAAAGTGCTTCATACTCTGGGGGAATCGAGGTGGATTGTCATTGACGTCGGTCAGCGTGATGTTCACTGTGGTGGTTCCTGATAATCCGCCCATCTGGCCTCCCATGTCTTTCGCCTGGATGACCACTTGGTACTGCTCTCTGTTCTCTCTGCTCATATCCGGCAAAGCTGTCTTGATGATGCCTTATAAAAAAAGAGTAGTGGGAAAACAAAACAAAACAAAAACCACAAATAAGAGATTGACGTAGGGGAGGAGGAGGAGGAAAGGGAGTATTAAAATGGATTTATGTCATATATGCTGTAGCAGTTAATCCACAGCAAATAAGCAAAACTAAAGGTGTATGCCTTGAAATAAGGCTTTCCACCCATGACCAGTTTAATGTCACAGCAAGGGGAAATGGGGGGAAACAAGAAGCTCCTATTACTCAGTGTCTTTAAATTGGCACTAAATCAATGCAATTATCCTTCTGGAAAAACAAAACAAAAATGGCTTACATCTGTCATCATGCTGGGGAAAAAAAATCTGCTGTTGGTTATTTTAAGCTAGCATGAAAAAATGTAATGAACAGGCATTTACAGCCCTCTTCAGAAGCATGGTAGCAGCTACATGTATACACACAGTAAAACAAGCTGCTAGACTATGTTATACCATTTCAGATTGTAGGCGAGGGACCAGCTTTTAACAAAATCCTACACATAAATAGTAAATTGCCACATCCAAGAGAAGGCTATTCTGAACTCTTTTGTTCAGCATCCAGTGTATGTAGTAAACACAAGGATTCATTAAATGTGGGGGACATCATGTCTTGCCTTCACTGCAGCTACAGCGTGTCTAAATTGGCCATTTTGGGCACTGGGTGGATCAGGCTATAAAAGGTCTGTTGGAGGGGAGAAGTAATGTGCCATTTGGCATGCTCCTCCTGTCCTCACTGCAAACAACCCCTGGTAGCCCAATCAGCTATCAATATTGCACTTTCCCTGATGTCTCTTCCCCCTTCTTTTCCAGGAAGTTTGCTTGAGAATTCTTGAAACACCCAGGGCTGAATCAGATGTGGGATTCTTTTCTGCCCTTTCCAGACATGGGAATAGTTATTATTATTATTTTACTACAGCCTAAAATACCCAAGCTAACATGACCAATGGTCATGCTGGCTGGAGTTTTGTGGATGTTGTAGCCTCAGGAAAGTGACTTTTCCTATATGCGCTCTTTCCACCTGGTATCTGTTTTCTCCTTTTTCTGTTGAATGATTTCTATATAATTTAGAAACCAGAAGCCATTTTTCTTTAAAATTTATTGCGCTTTTTAAATTGCATGACTCCTAAAACTGTGCCAAGCTTCCCACCCCCTGCTTTATATATATAAATGTTTGAATAGATTTGTGATTATAATTAAAACCGAAACAAAGGAGGGTATTTGAAAAAGATAAACAGTGGTCAGTTCCTGCACATAATTAGAAGAAAACAAAGCCAATGAATCAAAGGGAATAGACATTCCAACCTGTTTCTGGATCCACTGCGAAATATGGCTGTCCCTGGAGGATGCTATATACCACTTTGGCACTGTTTCCATAGTTAGCATCATCAGCATCTGTGGCTGTCACTTGGATAACAGAAGTACCTGTGCAGGAGCAAAAAAGAGACAACAAGAAAAGAAAATCCACATTATGAAATGAGATGAAATCTTACTGATGGGAAGTTATCTGCATGCCGATCTATTTACCATGACTATTTTGTGATTTCCTTCTCATGTACAATTACAATGATAATTTGTAACGCAAAACATAGTGTGAAACATAAGGTTTATCTAAGACATGCGAACATAATCAATGTAAAAAAGAAAAAGAAAAAAAAGCCCACATGATCAATTACTAAAGTAGTAAATGGAAGTAAAAAACATCCTTTAAACATTGCTTCAAATGCTTAATTTGGACGGAGGGTCTCCCAGTTCAAAATCCTGACCAGCACTGTTCAAAGTTCAAAGTTCATTGACAGTCTTAGTCAAGAGTAGGCAGTACGCAAAATGACAGTAGACATTTTAAGTTTAGCTCTGTCTTGGCCATGGGTAAATGAGAGGGTAAATGGAGCAAGAGCAAAGGGTGCAGTGAGAGCAAATGACAACTGAAGTCAAGTGATCCTGGTCTTTGTCCCCACTCTCCTCCCTGATTACAGTAACAACATGTAAGCACTGTATCACAGTTCCGGAACATCTTACTATTGGGCCAGACAAACTGAAACCACTGCTTCTGTGTACCTATGCCCAACCAGATTGAAATAGGAGGACTATGGCAACTGTGAAAAACATCTGGCCTCATTGATATTACAGCTATAGATGTGAAAAATTACAGCCATGGACAGAGATGCCGAAGAGCAGAAAACATTCCATTCCCTGGCTTTGCTCCAACCACTTTACCCAATGTTACCAATCTCACAGAGTTGGTGTGGGGATAAAATAGAGAGAACCCCATGTATACTTATAAAATAAGTAAGGAAGTACCGGTAAGTAATAGGTTAACAGTAAGTGAGGAAAGATGGTAGATTTTAATTCTTGATCGATATTAAATGTGAGTATATACAGTCATATGAAAAGAAACTACACCCTCTTTGAATTCTATGCTCTTACATATCAGGACATAATAAAAATTATCTGGTCCTTAGCAGGTATGAAAATTGGGTAAATACAACCTCAGATGAGTAACAATATGTGATATATTACACCATGTCATGATTTATGTAACAAAAATGAAGCCAAAATGGAGAAGCCACGCTTCAAAAACTAAGTACACCCATATTGCTTCCCTAGGAGTTCAGAGGCTATGTAGCAGCCCAATGCTGCTAACCAAATTAGTAACTGGTTGTCAGCAAGTGTGGCCACCTCAGTAAAAGCCAAAGTTGTAGTACTTTTCTGGTCTGGAGCATTCAGGTGTATGTTAACACAATACCAATGAAGAAACATATCAGAAATTATAATAGAGCCTTAATTGTTGCTGTCCATCAAGGGTAGCAAATAAGGTTATTTCCAAATAATTTAAAGTCCATCATTCTACTGTGAGGAAGATTATTCACAAGTGGAAAACATTCAGGAGAGTTGCCAATCTTCCCAGGAGTGGATGTTCCAGCAAATTCACCCCAAGGTTAGACCATGCAATGCTCAGAGAAATAGCTAAACACCCAAGAGATACGTCACAGACTCTTCAGGCCTCAGTTAGCATGTTGAATGTTAAAATTCAGGACAGAACTAGAGATGGCGACTCATGAAGTACAAAGTTGCCCCCATGAAGCAACGAATAATGAATATATTCGTCAATTTTTGTGTGTGGGGGGGTATTTTAAAAAAAGACCCCTGCCCCCTCCCTCCACTCCCAGCCCCATTGACACCCCCTTCCTATTAAAAACAAAAAAACCCACAAACCATTCTACCTACTGGCCGCAGATCAGCTGATTGGCGGCAGAAAGGCAGCCACCCAACCCTACAGCCTACCCCACCTCCTTCCTTTCCCTACCTTAGCCCTACGCCACCAATACCCTCTTCCTATTTTAAAAAAAACGAAATAACACCATCTTGCCTACCAGCCGCTGATCCACAACAGAAAGACAGCCACAGTCACCCAACCCCACAGCCTACTCCGTTCTTTTCCCTACCTTAGCTCTCCTCCACCGGCACCTCCTTACCTTAATTGCTGCTGCCAAAGTCTGCTTCTGGCCTCGCAGCCACACATGTAAAAAAAGGGAGATCTGCTGCCCTTTACAAAGATGGCAGCTGCAGCTTCATTTATGCCGCCCCGAGTAGACATGGTCTAGAGGGGCGGGGTATAAATTTAATAAATAAATACATAAATATCTTAGCCTGCCTTAAGGGAATCCAGGCTGCCCTTTGCAAAGATGGCAGCTGTGGTTTTCCTACCCTAAATAGAACTGCAGCTGCCATCTTTGTAAAGGGCAACCAGTCTCCATTTTTACATGCATGGCTGAAAGGCCAGAAGCAGACTTTGGCAGCTGAGATTAAGGTAAGGGGATGTTGGTGGGGGAGGGGGAGGGCTAAGGTAGAGAAAGGAAAGGAGTGGGGGATAGGCTGTGGGTTTGGGTCACTGTGGGGTGGTGGTTGCCTTTCTGCCGCCAATCAGTTGATCGGCGGTCAGTAGGCAGAATGGTTTGGGGGGATTTTTTTAAAGGGGAAGGGGGGGGGGGGGGGGGGAGGGCTAAGGTAGGGAAAGGAAGGGGGTGGTAGGCTGTGGGGCAGGGTGGCTGTGTGGGGTGGCTGCCTTTCAGAATGGTTTTTTTTTCATATAAAGGACAAATAAAAATGGGTTAATATTCATCTCTTTGTATTTGTGGGGGTCTCTGGAACCCACAAATATGAAGGGATTAATATTTAATGAATCGGCTATTTTTGTCGAAAAAGCTGATCCATTTTTATATTCATTCCCACCTCTAGACAGTACAGTTAGAAAAAGACTGAATAAGTATGGTTTTCCTGGAAGGGCTGCCAGGAGAAAGCCTCCTCACTCTAAAAAGAACATGGCAGTATGACTTAGGTTTGCACAACTGCATCTGGATAAAGTACATGACTTCTGGAACAATGTCCTTTGGACAGACAAGACAAAAATGGAAATGTTTGGCCATAATGCACAGCACCACATTTGGTGAAAATCAAATACTGCATGCCACCATAAACACCTCTTACCAGCATTCAAGCACAGTGATGGAGGGGTGATTATTTGGGCTTGTTTTGCAGCCCTGGACCTGGGTATCTTGCAGACACTGAGTTGACCATGAGCTCCTCTGTTTATCAAAATATTCCAGAGTCAAATGTGAGGTTATCTGTTAACAGCTAAAGCTTGTCCAAAATTGGGTCATGCAGCAGGACAATGATCCCAAGCACACAAGCAACTCTACAACAGAATGGCTGAAAAGGAAAACAATCAAGGGCTTGCAATGGCCCAGTCAAAGTACAGAATTCAACCTGATTGAAATGCTGCCATGGGACCTAACAAAACAAACATTTTAGAATACTACTATGATACTGGAAATTTCTCTCTCTTTCTCTCTCTCTCTCTCTCTCCTTTTTATCCCTCCCATCTAGTGACAGAGCACTACAAAGAGAGCTGTATGATTCCTTATGCAATACGAATACAAGCAAAGCTTATACTTTTATTAGACCACTAAAAATCAAACAATAAGCATGAGTTCTTGCAGTTAAATTCCACTTCAGGAATGCACCAATATCATGTGGACAGTGCAGAAAAATTAAACAACCTCACCTTCTCTTCTGTTTATATATGTTATACATTGTATGCCATCAAGTCAAAACTGTCTTATAGCAATGCTAGCAGGGCATTCAAGGCAAATGAGATTTAAGGAATGTTTTTCCCAGTTCCACATACACCTCAATGAGTTTCCATGGCTGAGCAGAAACTAAAACCCTTGGTCTACTGATTCCTAATCTGTCACTCTATCCAGTACACCACACAGGTTATAGCTAGCATCTATGAAAAGGACAATAGGTAATGTTAAATGTTCAAAAGATGACTAAGTACATTATTGAAAGACTGCAATTTAGTATACTCTGAGGATTTGGAGTGTGTTATTGTTGGGCAGCAGCAACCACAGAGCTAGCAAAGTAACTACGAATACCACCAGTATAAAGAGGAGGGGAGGCACTGTATTGTGCAATTAAAGGAACATTTTGTGCAAAGATGGACTTGATAAAGGACAAAAATGGCAGGGACTGCACAGAAGCAGAAGATATCAAGAAGAGGTGGCAAGAATAAAAAGAGGAATTATACCAGAAAGATTTGGATATCCCAGAAAACATAGATAGTGTTGTTGCTGACGTTGAGCCAGGCATCCTGGAGAGTGAAGTCAAGTGGGCCTTAGAAAGCTTGGCTAACAACAAGGCCAGTGGAGGTGATGGCGTTCCAGTTGAACTATTTAAAATCTTAAAAGATGATGCTATTCAGATGCTACACTCAATATGCTAGCAAGTTTGGAAAACTCAGCAGTGGCCAGAGGATTGGAAAAGATCAGTCTACATCCCAATCCCAAAGAAAGGCAGTGCCAAAGAATGCTCCAACTACCGTACAATTGCACTCATTTCACACGCTAGCAAGGTTATGCCCAAAATCCTCCAAGGCAGGCTTCAGCAGTATGTGGGCCAAGAACTCCCAGAAGTACAAGCTGGATTTCGAAGGGGCAGGGGAACTAGAAACCAAATTTGCTAAAATGGACTGGATTATGGAGAAAGCCAGAGAGTTTCAGAAAAACATCTACTTCTGCTTCATTGACTACTCAATGAAGGACCACAGCAAACTATGGCAAGTCTTTAAAGAAATGGGAGTGCCTCAACACCTTATACAGTATATCTCTTGAGAAATCTGTATGTGGGACAGGAAGCAACAGTTAGAACTGGATATGGAACAACTGATTGGTTCAAAATTGGGAAAGGAGTATGACAAGGCTGTATATTGTACCCTCACTTATTTAATTTATATGTAGAATACATCATGTCAAAGGCTGGACTGGAGGAATCCCAAGCCGTAGTTAAGATTGCCAGAAGAAATATCAATACCCTCCGATATGTACATGATACCACTCTGATGGCAGAAAGTGAGGAGGAATTAA